TCTGACTCCTCACGGTTTGTTCAAGTGTTTGCACCCAATTACCCTACAGGCCGGTTCCAGTTCTCACTCACTCACAATTAGAGACCTCTTTCCAGTGTTATACAAGACTTCTTACCGAGTATTAGTAAGTAGGCCTATTTCCGTAAGTAACAAGAATAACTTCTGTCTAGTAATTTAAAGCCATGGTTTGAAATCGGTTCAGTCGTGGAGATAAACATTAGAATATTTTAATAGTTTGTTTGTCAGCCTGGTGAAACGCAGACATGTGGTAGCTAAGTGCCCAGAAAAGAGAGCGCCACACAGATTTACAAGGGAAAGATGGGACAGACAATTGGCACAGGCTGCGTTCACCTCTGTCCAACATCACACACACTTACTGCATTGCACACAATCCATAGTTGTCTTTCTCTTGGCATGGTGGACACACAGACAGTGGCGTATGGGTGTTAAGGGATGTTGTGGAGAGTCAACCCAACTGAGCTCAGTTTACACACCTTTTTTGAACACACTTTACACAAACTTCAGGATGACTTAAATCCCTTTAAGTGATGTCGAATTGATTAAGACTATACAATCAGGAAAAATCATCTGCAATACTTAAAATATATATATAATTGTGTTTGCTTTCTGATGTAGGAGGATATAGTTTTCCCCCTTTTTTTTTATTCAGTGTTCGTCTGTGTCTGTCCTGTGCTGTGTTGAGTCTACAGTGTTTCCTCCTGCTGCTGTGCACAACGCCACACCCACTGAATGAAATGCTGTACTGCATCAGGTTTGGATAGAAAACCTGTTGAATTGGTTCTTTCTGAATGAGGCTGTCCATCATACTGGCAAAAAAGGCTGTTGTATTCAGTAATGGAGAGACACTCAGCTCAGGAGGAAGCTATCAGCCCAACTAATGAGTGTTATGAAGAGTGGATGTTGGGAAGGGAAACTGTATGTCGTCACTGTGAATTGCACTGAAAACTATAAGTGAATGGTGAAACAACCATTTCAGATCTTTCATAATTAAATAAAGCACTTACAGGCTAGTGCTAGTGGCTCTGTGAGGCATAATGGTTCACCAACATCAACATGCTAACATGGTAACATTGAAAATGCTTACATGATGATTTTTAGCAGGTGTAACAATCACCATCTTAGTTTACTGTGTTAGCATGCTAAAATTAATAAATAATAATTAACATTATCAAGTGAAGCTGAGGCTGAAAGAATTGTCATTAAGTTTGCAGATATTTTTGTAATTATTAAACAAATAAACATTTTGACCTGATGACGGCACTTACGGAAAAGTTAAGCGACCACACAAGTCTTTACGGTTTATTATCTGGAGAGCATTAATGTTTGTTTTAAATGTGTCTGCCAAATGAATGTAGTTTAAAACTAAAATATCTATCTCACAATGGTGCTAGAGAAAAAGTTAGGGGATCACCAAAGTCATTAGGATTCATCCTCTGGGGACCATGACTGTCTGTAGTGTGGACAGACTAACAGACCGCTTGCAGGGCTATAAAACAAAAGAGGCGTCACAGACTTAACTGGGTTTGGAAACTTCATTCACATACATCTCATTTGTCATTTTTAACTAAATACTTGCTTACAGATACTTTACACGTTTAAGTAAGGTTCTGCATTAAATAGGCTATGCTTGTAAATAGGCAGTTCAGCCTTCTTAATCTTAATCTTTGTAGGTTGGAGGGACTGGATTTTGGCCTCTCCAGCTCCAGCAGCCCACCTGCAGGATATGCAAACCTCCATGTGTCTATCTCCCCAGTCTTCAAACTGAGATGGTGTTTAACCTGTGCCCACAATAACACAAGTTCTAGACATTCAGACTGGCTGCTTGCATGACTGGCTGACATCACTGCTGGCTCTGGCTGCTGTTTGCACTGCACCCGCAGCTGCCCAGACAGAGACGACAAAGGCATTACTAAGTGTAAAATTAAAGAATGGGACACTCATTGGAGGGGAGAACAGCACAAATATAAGGAATGCTAATTTGAGACCTTGCTCTTTTCAAAAAGGACCCATTTTGTATCCGATTACATTTTTTGACCTTTCAAAGTTGTGAAATGGACTCTACCAAATGAAAAACATAAATAAAAGAAATCAGCTGTAATACATATGTATGAAACAACTTTTAATCAAATTTAACTTTAATTTAAACATTATACAGAGTCACTGGAGCAGTCCAACTCTAACCAAGAGGAAGGAAACCCCACTGCAGAAGTGAGCCTGTGTAACACAAATGATGAAAGGACACGAGTCTGAAGGAGGAACTCATTGCAACACTGCCCCACCTGGTGGAGAGGCTATCTTAAGGAAAAAATAAAAATAAATGTTTTTAATAGTCTCTTTTACATGTTTTTTTCACAGAAGGTAGGTTACCAAGTAAGTTACCAAACAAACCTAGTCAACACTTAAGCACAGGCTGAGTGGGCCAAACTAAATATGAACTTGGACTTGGAATATGGACCAGAATTAGCCATAACTTATCAATCATTACGGGATTCGGTTCCCACTGAGCTGCCAAACACAATCCCGTGCACCTGAAACACTTGGTTTATAAACTGTTTTATTCATAATGTAATTTGTGTTGTTTATTCGCATCTAGGTCCTAAAATGTGCATAGATTTCACAGTCATCGTGGCTCAGAGACAGCAGTGTAATGGCACAGGCTTCTTTAAGAAAAGCACACTTCCGCCCCCACAACCTTCCTCACATATCAGCACGCCTTTCACTTGCCCAAATATGAACTAAGCTTCTTTGCGCAGGGACAGATTGAAATGGGGAGGAGTCTGACAGACTGAGTTCAGATCAGGACAGACTGAAGGACAAACAACCAGAAAGGAGGAGTAAATTAAGTGAGCAACAGGTTCGACAGAACCAGAACCACAAAAATAAGAGGGCAATAAATATTGCCTGCCTGAAGAACAGTAAGTTTTTACCTGTTTTTCTTGTATTTTAATTTCAGTAGGGTTACCACAACTTCTAAAAACACAGAAATACTAGTAGGCCTTGCCCCAACTGCCTGCTGTTGTACAGTTACTGCTTGTTTGTACAGGGCCATATGACATTTATTATGCAAACTATGACAAATATATGATGCTTAAATGGCTGTATAGGTTCTCTTTACTTGATTAGTCATTATTTTAACATTGGTCTGAGTGTTTTGGCTGAAGTTTATGAACCTCCTTTGACATTACAAGAAACTGAAGCATAAACTATCATTTTCATTTCATGCAGAACATTAAAATATACTTTAGGTGTTTATCAACGCTTCTCTTTTTTCTCCCTATCCACTTTTACAGATGTCTCTATCTCCCGCCGCCTTTGCAGCTCGTCGGGTGTTTGCTGCTGCGTCACATTCAAGCCATGAGGGTGGAGGTCAGTGTGTCTTTACAGTTGCTCTCAACCAAATACAACAAAAATGCATCAAAGCCTCCAGATTCAGAGCTTCTGCATGCAGCAGCACCTCTGAGTCACGTATAGCTGCAACCTTTTGTTGAACATTAACTTAAAAGTCTGCAGAGCTGGCAGCTGTCCTGCTCTTTGGCAAATGATCAGGAATTATACTGTATTGTTGATATGTAGAGTTGCTATAATTCATTTTGCCCTCTTGAGTGCTGCTGTCATGTACTTTCACTGGCTGTGTTTTCCACAGCGAGGACCTGGAAAATACTGACCATTGTGTTGGCCTTTCCTGGTGTTGGCGTCTGCATGGCTAATGCCTACATGAAGATGCAGGCGCACTCACACTCGCAGCCAGAATTTGTGGCATATCCTCACCTGCGTATCCGAACCAAGGTTTGTCTCAAACTCACACATATGCTCCAAATCTTTCAGCAGGATTTCCAGAACGACACCCTTCCAGTAAAGAAATGGTATAGGATGAATATTAATGGATTTTCCCTCCATTGTTGACTTTACCTAAGTGTTAATGTCTCCTTCCAGAAATTTCCCTGGGGTGATGGAAATCATTCCCTATTCCACAACACTCACACCAATGCTTTGCCTGATGGCTTCGAGAACTCCCATCACTGAGAAGATCGGCCACATTTCTCAGCTATGTTTCCAGTCAGCAGTGTACTTGGATTAATTATATTGACTGCACTGCCTTCAAGCGTTGCAACGAGAAAGGAATAAAACCACTTTGTGCTGTATTACAATGAGTGCCATTTCTTTTAATCATTTAATTTAATTCAATTTAAATCAACCCTCAAGACTTATATCAGAAATGTCTCCTTACATCTCATTATCTGGACCATGTTCTATTATTTCAAGTGTTACCGCAGCACGCACTGCTATCACATATGGTGTCTTTTTACGTATTATCACTAAGGGTCAACAAAGCCTTGGTGGCATGTTACATAATTTCCGTGAACACACACATCTTATTTTCACTCAATCCCACATACAACGCCCTGCTGCCTCAAATAAAATTCTAATAATTATGTGTATTAATCCACCAATGAACATTGTCAGCAAATACACAATTCACTGCTTTTTGAGTAAATGTTTTTTTTTAAGTAAATGACATATTCTTGACATATTATTAAAGGTCGATGTCTTCAGTATGAACCAATGCATTTGGGACTAAGAGCAACAAACAAGATATTACTAAGATATAGTATTGAGAGACGGACTAACACACTGCTGCTTTTGGTCTTTCATGCAACATATTGATAATAAGAAAAAGATAATACATCACCAGCCCCAGCAATATCCTTTAAAATGCTAAGATTAGTGTAGGACAAGTGGGAAATTTGACTTGAAAATGAAAAGTCAGGGGATAACCAGTGTAATTATGATTCATCCCCTGGACACCAACGAAGAATGATCTTAATGAATGAATTGATGTTAATCCAACCAATTGCTGTTTCACTGTCTGTTGTAAAAGTGAAATAATATAACCGACGAAACTCCCTAAAGACATGCGATCAGATTACTGTGCCCATTCTGTAACCCCATACTCCAACAACAAGAAACCGAAAACAAAGTGGTGTTCCAACAATATATTCAGTGGTATAAATTAATATGTAATAACAGTTGGAATCTATACATATTATATCTGCTAATTCATAATATCTCTATGTACAAAATAAACAACTGGCTCCTAGACCAACCCTGATAATTCCAGTACATCCAGCTAAATGACACTATCAAATGCATTGTGGACATTTGTCTTGACTTTTTCCTGGGGGAAAAAAAAATCACAATACAAATGTTACAAGAAGTTAATCCAACAACAGTAAATTATAATACAATTATGTCATGCTGGGACAGGCTAAAGTTTATATCAGATTACATCAAAACTAAATAGAAATGTATGCTTCCAGTTTATGAAAATAAATCAACAGTCAGTTCTATTAGTGCTGAAGAAATTCAAACACCTGTTTTTGAAAACTGCACTTGCACTTTTATAAATTAATGGCAACTTTTCGAGAAGCTTATAACAAGCCCCGAAGTTGACTCTCCATTTATCTATTCCCTCTGAATTCATCCCACCAATTACTCCACTCAATATTTCCCTCTTTGCTTAAGTCAGGGCTAATGTGGCCAGACTTAGTAGATCCTGTTTCAGAGTCTCCGTACAGTCGGCCTCTCTGGCAAGCGTGCAAAGGCAATCCCCAGCAAGGGAGGTGGACAAGAAGGGCCGAGGACAGTCCTGACAGCCCAGCAGCAAAGACAGGCAGGCCCGACCCAGTGCTGGATAGCTGTACCGCTGGGAAAACCAGTATATGTGGGGGAGGAGAGCGGCCAGGGCCCTACCTTCTGCACTGGCTTCTGAAGAAAAACTGGAGTCTTGAGCTGCTTGTTGCAGAAGCTGTGCTGAACTTTTCATCAAGTTCTTTGGTCTTAACCTGAACTGATCTGGATTAAGTGATTTGCCCACCACTGACACACGGATTGATTTGGAAACAGGTGTGTCGCTTTTGATTGCCTTATGATCCGAAGTTGTATTAAGTCCTCTGCTGGCCTTTTGAACTCTTCCAGTGAAAGAGGTTTCATTACTGTCCGTCTGGTGTAGGGAAATTATTGGGTCCTTCGTCTGTCCTGGTAAATTTTCAGTTTGGACTTCAAAACCGGTCAACTCTAACTCAGATGTTCGATTAGCCAGGCTCTCTTCTGCAGACTCAAGTCCCTCTTTGTCTGTTATAGATTCAGCCTTTTCAGCGTTGTCCTCTTTGGGAGCTGATGCAGCACGACTTGCAGCCTTGGGGAAGGATGGCAGGAGAAGAGACACACAGAGGTCCTCCAACTCTCTCTGCAGCGCTGTCACCAAAAATCTGCGCGCTCCAATCATCATCTCGCCTAAAGCGGTTTTCTGGAAAGCCAAGTCTTTTTGGTGGATCCCCAGTCCTTCACGGACCAATGTGTCCAGGATCTGACACTTTCCTCTTCTCTCTCTTTCATTATTTTCCCTTGTTGTTTCTGGGTCCTTGGTGAAGCGACATCCATGCAGGTAATGCAGCACTGGAAGCAGCATACCTGTGCTGACATCTTCAATGCGGATGGCTTCTCCCGCTTTACCCCGAGCTTCTTCAAATCCACCTCTCAACAGACCCCAAAAGTATTCAGAGCCGACTCCGTCTGTCCCCTCCACCCCGGCCACAGCCTCCCTATTGGCTGAGACCCGAGTCCCGTCGTCCAGCAGCAAGAGGAGGTCAAAGTTCGAGTCTCCATAAGGACAGATGTCAGCCAGGCGAGGCTTTTTCGAGGGAGGGGGTGAAACTCCGTCAATTTTACCGACTGATTGTGTTGTAACTGGATTTAAGTGGTTTTTTTCAAGCTCCATTTTGATGCCACCCATCAGGGTAGACAGGCATCCGATAAGAAGGGAGAAGTACAGGGAGTGGAGCTGAGCTGTCCGGCCTGAATGTGGTGAATTTAACCAATCAGAAAGCAATCTTACACATTCAGCGGGGTGGTCTTCATCCGCTTCTTCGTAACTGCAACCAAGGGGCTGCAGAGCCAAGAGCAGCCCCCCGCTGTCCAGAAGTAGCTTCTTCAACAGGGACTTGTTGCTGTTAGAGAAAATGAGGGTTTGTAAAGCTCATATATGATGTATAAATATAAAACCATTGAATGAGTATATGGTTGATACAAATCAATTCACTAAACTGCATGTAAGGATTACTGGAAATAATGTTTTTAATCAGGACGTAAATCAGAATTTCTAAAATAAAATACAATTTTTAAGATCACAAACACAAAAAGGAAGCCAGAAGAGCGTCTTCTGTGGCATTAGAGCTATGACATGTACAGATTCTCCTGATTACTGAGCTCATATTCATATGGATCTACTACTCACCTGCTGATTAATGGCAGAGATAGCGCACAGTTCATCTTGTCAGACTCAGAGCCCGACAGCATCACATGCGCAAGAACCCCAGAGCCAAATCCAGACTCACACTGGACACGCAGGTTGTTAAGAAGAGCAAGACCTACAGAGACAGTGCACAATTAATGACAACCTAAGTCTGATTACATAAAAGCTAATTGTTGAGAATTACTCATGTCAAAAAGTAAGCATGAATCTGATATGCTGACCTTATTAAGAGTAAAAAACATTGGCCAGATGTGACTGACGCACATTAAATATTTAAGATTTATTTGTCTATGAAATTCAGTGTTTTCACTGTCCGTTACATTAATTCAGTCGGGCCGCTGACTCTCCATTATCACTGTCCTCATGTTGCCATTACATAAAAGTTATTCCAATTCCAGGTACACAAATTTTAAATTTGGTAAACAAGGGAGCACCAGTATCAGGTCAGTAGTTAATTGCAGGCTTCATACCCTGAGTTGAGGTATCAAGACCTGGAAAGTTAGATAGGTGCATCCCTAGTCAGAGGAATAAAATTTAAAGATTTAACCAATAAGATACATAATACTACTAATAACACAAGATTAATAAAATGTGAGTTGTCTATAGCGTTTATAAGGCACTAAGCAAATGTAGGTTTTGTTATCACAGCAATTATAAACAGCAACATGGTTTATGGGTCATATAAAGCCTCTTAGTCGCTCTAATGTTACGGAGTTGCAGATTACTGATCTCGCTCTTTATCTTACCAAGTTGTTTAACTTTGGCTTTCACTCGGTCCGTCTGCCTCTCTTCTCCCTCAAATCCTCCCCCTCTCTGGCAGAGATGGTGACGAATCAGCGCTACCGAGCCGGTTCGGACCAGCGCCTGCAAACAGTTTGGGTTGCAGCTCAGCCGGCAAAGCATACGGAGGCACCTGCTGCTGGGGTCCTGGTGCTTTGTGAGGTAGTAGAGCAAGCCGGACATGACACCTGAGCTGACCAGAGCCGCACTTGGGTCGGTGGCGTGGGAGAAGCGCGACAGCAGCAGCAGGATCGGCGACTCGGGCGTCCAGGGTTCAGGGTGGTAGGGGTGTTGGTAAGCCATTGGTCGAGGCACAGAGGGTGGGGTATCAAGAGTGACTTTAGTCAAACAAGCTGCTGAATGAGCACGCTGCCTCCTTCTGTGAGGGGATGAGAACTTTGACGGAGAGACTGGTGTTTGGGTTGTTTTAGAGGTTGAGGAGATGGTGGAGGAACTGGTATCGGTTTGGGGTGTGAGTGCAGTGGAAAGTTGAGGACTAGAAGGAGGCGGATCAGTGTTTTTCAGTGAGGATGACATTTGGGGCTGGGCCGAAGAGGACACAGAGGAAGGCTGAGCTGCTTTTTTACAAGAGGCAATAGGATTGGATGGAGAAGAGTTTTTAAGAGAGAAAAGGGAATTGGAGTTTGGGGAAGAAGTTTGAGGGGATGAAGACAGAGGGATCTGAAGACCCCCCCATTCCCCTTCAACACCAGAGGAAGCCAGCAGTTCCCCCTCCGAAGAGATCAATCCCTCAGACACCAACCAGGACCTAAAGACAGAGCAACAAGCATGTAGATCAACAACAGAATATAGTAGAATAAAACAACTGACAGGGAAAATAGGTAAACTTGAGCATCATTTTCCATACCTGAGACTTAAAAAGCTTGATGAACCTTGCTCCCTACCAGCCTCCTCCTTTTTGCAGCCCTCAGGAGGAGGAAAGTCAAAGGACTCAAAACATGAAGAAGGCATGAGCTCAGTGGGAGACATGGTGGAGGAGAGGCTTAAATCTATCTTCTCAGCGGGTTGTTCCTCACCTCTGGTGAGCTCGACTAGTCGTGAAATAAGCAGAGGGACCAGCCCTAACTCTTGCAACTGGTCCATAGCGGATTCATCAAAAACAAAGTCTACACACGCCAGGATAGCTAGTCGGGAAAGAGGGTGACTCTGATGGGCAGCCAAAAAGCTAATGAGCACCTCCAGTCCACCACTCTCCTTCACCTTAGCACGGTTAACCGCCTCCTTGCAGCACAAGCACAGCGCCTTGAGGAAGACTCCAGACCTCAGTGGGTCCTTCTTCACCTCCTCAGTGAACTTCCGAATGATCCCCAGTGACCCCACAAAAGGGCGCAGGCAGCCTTGGGAGCACATGTTGGCCAGGGTTTTCAGTGCCAGCTCCTCAAAAGGTTTACCCGCCTCCCCTGACGCCATGACACCGAGCTGATTGAGGACTCCAGAACGGGACAACTCCCTGGCGCATTCAACACCACAGCCCCGGGTCAGCTCGTGGAGGGTCCTGAGCGCCACACGTCTCAGCGCCTGGGGATATTCTGGAGCGATGAGAGGGGCGAGAGCAGATAAGGTCCCTTGGGTGAGTAGTGAGAGGCGGTTGGAGGGCGTATCTGAGAGGTAGAGGAGAGCCCGAGCAGCCGACTGAGCACACTCCAGTTTAGGACACTGTTCTTTGGGGGGAACGGCAGTGGGGGACGACGGGCCAGAAGAAATAGACACACAAAGGAGGAGAAGAGGAACACCACCTGTAAAAAACAGAAGAAAATAAATATTTTATTTAATCTGAGAACAAATAATATATCTCCACAAAAAACATTTCACAGATCCTTTTTTGCTCGCATTTCATAAACATGTTTCTCTGGCTGTGGTCAAGTTAATAGATGATGTGATGTCTGGCTCTTATGAAGAAATAACAACAGCTGGATGTCTTGACCTGTTGTCCTTCGATCCCACTGATGATGTATGGTAATAATAAATAGTATTAAAATTATTTTCAACTAACGTTTAATCTGTCAATTCTTTTCTTAACTAATAATCTGGTCTATAAAACATCAGAAAAACAGTGAGAATTTGTCTGTACGTGATCATTCTTTCAAACCAATGGTAATCATTATTATAATAATTACTGCACTATACAATACTCTACTGCCACTGCAAACGTATCATTTCCCCTCAAGTAGCATTGAAGGTGCATCTGATTTTGAATGCTGTCAGCTAAAAAATTATGCAGTGAGACACAGTGACATTTCAGACTTACCGGAAGAGTGGATAAGTGCAGAGCTCTCTGGATCCATGGCCAAATTTCCCAAAGCCCGGGCTGCTCTGTTCTGGACCGTCTCCAGGGCTACATTTCTCTTCAGGATCTCCACTGAGACAGTTAAGAATGTTTTTCCAGATTATATGTCATTAATTGTGAAAACATCACAGACCTAAATGTAAAATATCCTTAGATCAAATTCCTCATAAGATTGTAAAATACCACTTACCTACTATATTTATTCCATCAAGCTTGCGAACCTATAGTGGAAGACATTTTAAATGTGAGCAATGATTAAATAAATACAGCGTTTAATACCTTCACTATTATTCCTTTTGTCTCACCTCTACACGTGTCTCCAGCTCAGTGCAGCAGTTTGCCAGGATGCTCAGAGCCAGGTCAAGGGTTTTCCTGGAGCACTCTGGGTGTTTGAGCAGGTCCAGCAGGGGTTTGAGACCACCTTGAGTTCTGAATCTGGCAATGCCAGCCTTGTCACCCTTGATGTGCTGCGTCCGGATAGCAACCAGGGCTCGCCACTGAAAGACTCTGGACTTCTTATCCATTTCTCTACCACCGCCTGTGTCTGCCTTGCCATGGCAGTGATGTTCAGCCTTTGATCCAGGTTTGCAGAGGTGTGCCAGGCACCACGTCAAAGAAGACTCTGGTGATGATTGGTGCCCTTCTCTGGAGGTTCGAGGTGGTTTCCAGTCACCCTGAACAGGTGATGCAGCCATGGTACTGCTGCAGGTTCAATTATCTTAATGTTCCTCCTCACAGTTTATACTGATATTCAACACACTGTGGAGCATTACCGGATGCTTCAAACGAAACACTGAGAAATTAAATAGCATAGTCCTTTCGCTTTAAATTGTTAGCTAGTATGTGCTCTTAATGAGTCACTTCATATCTTTTCAAAGTTTCCGCAAAATTAACATTCTGGTGCGGTCAGAAAACTACAGATACCGTGAAAAAGGAAAGTTGTACCACCTGACGCCGCACTCCCTGACGGGAGATGGAGTTCCAATCGCTTCGGTCCACTCCCTAAAAAACGGGCCTACATCGTAAGAAGGCCGCACAAACGTTATTCTACGTAATGGACGTGTATTTGCTCAGTGTAACATATTTTGGCACATCAAATGACGAATTAAAGCTCTATTTGATCAATGTTTTGTTACCACTGGCCGAATAATTTTTGTGAAACAAAATCCAATCGTCTGTGTTAGCCGCTAACGCCATCTTTAGCCAAACAACAAAACAGGGGCGGTCGAGGGAGGGAGCAGGGACTGAGGAGGTGGGTCGGTAAGATGTATGCTGGGACTTGTAGTTCAAATTCCCTGGCCTTCCCCTTCCTCTAGCGCATTTAATCCCTTAAAAAAACCACATTCCCCGTGATAGTAAAAAAGCCAGTTTACGTTGAAATTTTCTCAGCGTTTAGGGATTGTAGTTCAATTGGTACGTCAGATAACTCAAAAGCTCTTTCGTATCTACCGAAACGAACTACACTTCCCGAGTTCTCAAGTGACGTTGTTATAGTCATCGTTTTACTCGATGCGACAAAATGCATCGGTGTCTCTGGGAGGTTGTTAAAGTCCACGATAGATACACCGCTAATTAAAAAACAACAACTTTGACTGTAATTGTAACGATTTAATAGCATGGACGTTATCGAGACAATTGTGATACAAAGCAGTGAAGTGGAAGGAAAGGAAACGGTCGTGTCCAGTGTGGACACCGATAAAGCCAAAGCAGGTTAGTAACTGTACACGCAGCCTGAAGTTAAACATGTTTCATCCTGTCATCGCAAGAAGCGAGGAGGGTTTGATGAGTGCGCAGTCTCTGCCTGTCGCAGTGATTGTAGTCATAAACCGTAATCTGCACTAATGAGATGAGAATAATATGTAGTCTGGTAAGTTATTACCTCAAATAGGTATTTCAATCAGACAAGTTGTGTCACATAAAAATATTAAACTTTAAACACAGGTAAGAGGTTCAGTGCAAGAAGTTCAGTGCAAGAAGTTAATAATATCAGACGATGACATGATACACCTTTGTTTTCTTCTGCAGAATTCATATGGACACTGCAGGCTACATGGCACCTTGTCAACACCCGGCTTGAAATGGACCAGGCTTTTGACCAGCCAGTGTGCAAGAAAAAGAAACTTTGGGAGATGGTAGCAGAGAGAGTGAATGCCAAACTGAGGGAGTCAGAGGTCACCGATGTCACTGTGAAGGCGTACGAATGTGACCTTAAGTGGAGAAACATGCTGGCCACGTACAGGAAGAATGCAGAGAGAGCCAAGAGGCTCGGGGCGACCAGCGTCCACTGGGAGTTCTTCAAGTCCATGCACGAGGTCCTGGGTAAGAGCAGGGAGGAGATCGAAGACCAGCGAAGGGCCAAGCTCAGTGGGACGAGAGTGGGTAAGGCCATAGCCAACAAGAGGTTTACCCCCATCCTCCCTACACCTCCTGCAACAGCTGCTCCCTGCTCTGCGTCCCGGCCTCCACAGGACGTCCTACAACTGTACATGGAGCTGCAAGAGAGAAAGATGAACATGTGGGCACAGCAGAAAGCCCTGGAGGAGAGGAAGATAGAGGCCATTAACAACCTGGCGCAGGCCATCTCCAGCCTGGCTCAGAAGAACAGCACAGAATTATCAAAGGATGGACATTAGAGGCGTGAATCTGAACTCCCATGTGTGTCGTTTGCTCTTACCAAAAACCTTTATGATACTGCATGAGGAAAGCTGTTTGAGTGTGTTTGGTAAATATGCTTGCAGATTGCACATTTGCACTGTTACAGTTTTTATAATAGTTTGGCCTGACACAGCAGAGAGAGAGACAGAATTCATAATTCAGAATAAATGAAAATACAACAGTTCGGGAAAAGGGACAAGTGGATTGCATGTCCTTTTCTGGTGATGTCATGGCATGTAATCATCACTCATTTTTATACGATACGAGAGTGAATTGTGGTCGGTTGATGTTTCAGAGTAAGAAAAACTTAAATAATTCATGCAAATAAGACTAATACATGCTTTCCTACACTGGACCAGTTCATCAAATGACAACAACCTATGCAAGAGTACATGTTCTGTTTGATGCAGGCACACATAAACAAGCTAACAGAAATGATCAGTGATTACAGTCATTGCTCAAGAGAAGTCACAGAAGTTTTTCAGTGAAAACAATATGCATATTCAAACTGATATTTAATATTCCTAAGACGTATTTATAGAAATGTTACACTTTATTATCATACAGTATAAACGACTTCACTGTGTCATGCGGTCCAATAAACAGTCCTGCAATAAATGCTACCTGCATGAAGGTTTTGTTTGGCGGTGAACAGAGTATTAGAAACACTGCCGACTGTTTTATAATGACAGTTTTACCGATTATGTTATGATATTGTGTTTACCTTGATGCTGGAAACTGGCGCAGCGGCAGATTGACGTTCACTACCGTCCAGTGATCACGAAGAAGAACTGCAACAATGCATTTTTTTATGTGGTTCATGGTTTTAATATCAGTGTAATCACTATTAATTATATCTATGTACATCTCAGTGTTAACAAGATTATTACAGATATTGACGTAAGTATTGTCGATAAATTATTAAAAGACAGTTGTTTTAAATAGTTTTTCTTTGGTCTGGAGATCAGTTTCCGGTTATCACTTTCAAAATAAATGTGAGCGCTCTAACTGAATACAGAAAATTGTTTATTCTTTGCCTATTCATTTACCTATTTGTACTTTTATGTCAAATTGTTGCATGTTAGTGAGTTTTTAAGAGCCTGAAAATCCCATTTGTCATCAATCATTACTCCACACTTTTCAGTGGATCTATTCTGATGGAGATGAACACTTGAAAAACGCTGGCATCTACATTTCTGATTAACGATCATGTAAGTCTAATATTAGAATAAGGCCTATGTTCATGTCAGGGGGAAAAAATTTAAATTAAATCAGACAGTAGAGATTCTGTTAAAATAGCCCTTTATATTACAGAAATGTTCATTTACATCTGTAAACGCAGGTTTCATCATGTGCTTCCAGAATCAACTCTTTTAAACAACAAATCTGAGATGCTGTCACGTCTGTGTACACCCTCTTCCTCTACCTCCCCCTCTCGAGTTATGGTTTCCTCTTTCTCAATTTTTCCTTGAACCACTTGTCCCATGTCCAGAAACACATTGTGCAACACACAGGCAGTCAGCACCACAGCTCTGGCTCGATCATAGTTTCCAATATCCAAATACCCGAGCCTCTGAAATCTGGCTCTCAGGTTGGCGACAGCCTGATCCAGGATGTGAAAATGCTCCTCCAGCGTCTTGTTGAAGAGCTCCTCTTTTGGTCCGTGACTTCCTGAGTATGGAGTTAAAATCTGAGCCGTGAGCGGGTAGCCGGCTCTGGCCACGAGGCAGGAACCAGAGGGCATCAGTTCAGGATGCTGTTTGAGTTTTTCTCTCAGAGCGCTTCCTCTGTCCAAGACTGATCCTTTACTGATTCTGCAGTGTAGGAACCGGCCCTTATAGTCACATACTAGCTGAAGGTTTAGCCAGGAGTCAGGATGGACCTCCTTTTTCATCCTCTTCACTTCAGACACTGCGCTCTCCACGTCATGTTTCCCTATTGGCAGGCGGATAGGGATGCGGGTGTGTCCCAACACTCCCAGGACCCGAGGGACACCTTGCTGCTCCACCTCCTGCTCCTTCTCCAGACTGAAAAGTGGGAAAAGGGTCTCTACAGCCTCTCTGCCTGGAGAATAAAGAGGAAATACATTAGGAAATAAAACATTGCACTGGTCATCTAACAAATCTCCCACAAACAACACAGATATCAACCCACCGAGTGGCCATCTGATGAGCGTCTCCTCCAGCATGTTGATACGTTCACAGAAAGAAAAGAAGATCCTGTGGATGTTTCCTTTCTCCAGGTGGAAGCGGCGGGACACGGAGCGGTAGCTGACGCGCTCAGAGAGCAGAGTGAGGGACAGCAGGACAGTGTGGGACAGGGATAAGCGAGCCCGTCCGGCCATCCGAGCCCTGGATTTAGAGTTTTGAAGCAGGTCTGCGATGTGCTGATGAGAGAAAAAAAGAAGAAAATTATGTTACAGTAGTCAACATAAGTCAGTCAGGAGATTCAACAGGTAGTTCGGGGTGAAATTCATCGTAATTCTATCACAGTGTGATCATAACCAGTCCTCGTGTTTATCTCAGACACTTTCAGGGTTGGATTATTTGTTCAGAAGAAGGGTCAGCTAGTAAACATTGAGCAAAGGTAGAAAATGTGAACATTTGGCCTGAAGATGTGTGGATATGTGTGAATGTACATGGTTATGACCGGCTGAGTCAGTGAATTCTTTAATGTCTACTCTTAAAACATACTTTTATAGGAAAGCCTTTTCTGATTTTAGATGATTTATTTATCTATTTTCCTTTAACGGTATTTTATTTCTGATTGTTCCTGCTTTTACCCCTGTGCCTTGTTATTTGTTTATTTTATTGTCTTTATGAAAGCACTTAGTAACTTGGTTTTGAAAAGTGCTCTATCAATAAAGATTATTAGTAGTAGTAGTAGTACTAGTACAGTGCTGGTGTATGTATTTCTGTATCCATGAAATGCTGTTGGTACCTTAGGACTGTTCTAACTTTGCCTGTATGTTCACTGTATTTAAACTTATTCTTAAATTTAGATAATTTCACTCAGTCTGTAATAAAAACACTTGATAATATACGTGCGATTAAGTAAAATTATCTTTCCCGCTTTGACAGATTTGTAAACTGATTAGAGTATCAGGTGTGTTCGTGGCCCACAGCACTACACTGCAGACAGTACCTGGACTGCAGCACTGTCCACGGGCCCCTGTGGTTCTCGGGGACCTGGTGTCTCCTCCTCGGGGGGGGCTGGATGTGGTGGTCTGTAACATGCGGGGCAGCACATTAGCTTGACTCTGCGGTATTTGTACGTATATGGCAGGAGGAGACTGGGTTTTGAGTTTTGCTATCAGGTCAGCCTCCAGGATCTCTTCCACCGACTGGTCCAGCCGCTGCTCCAGCTCAAGGGGCGACAGCGGCTGCCACTCCCGCTCCACCAGGTCCAGCACGGCTCTGGCCGCCGATAAAACACTCTCACTGACGTCCATTAGTCTCAGTGATGGCTAGACTATGTTCGCGTGGTCAGTGTTAAACCATATGTGTTAATTTCTTTATACAGGGGGAAGTGAATTAAGTTACTTGCGCGGACAGGATCGTTGCTGGCAAAATGCTAGCTTAGCCTGCTGCTGGCTAACGTGCGCTGCCTTCAAGTGCTGTCGGAAAGTTCGTATTAGCAACGAGCTCAACTTGTGTCAACGTTTGCAAAGTGTTGTTCACTAAATATTGAGGTTAGAGCTGAACATTTTCGTAGATAAGTACATTGTTCGACTGTCAGAAATGTAATAATTTATCAAGTAAACATCCTCTGGTTTCAGCCTCTCAAATCCCAAAATCTGTTGCTCATCTCTGTTGTCTATGATTGTAAATTAAATACAGCCAAGTTTAGTTATGATTTAGCGATTTGAAAACGTTAGCTTGGGTTTTATTGCTGAAACTCTTAATTGATTAGTTAAATATTGATTATTTTCTCAATCTTAAAAGTTACACATCTTCGCACAAGTTGCTGACTATTTTACTAGTTCAGTATAAGTTGATAAACACTAACAACCACAAACTTTAAGTTAATCCTAGAGATAGTGCAAACAATCACAAGGGATTGTTTGCATGTATACATTTTTTTAAAGATCTTACTCACCTGGCGGTCATTGCTTAGTTATTGTATGTGGCAATTACTGTATTTGTGCTTTAAGAAAACACAACACACTGAGATATCACCCGCTGTTTAAAAAAACAAAACAGTAATTGATTGGCTTCCTCCAACTGTGTATAAAATACCCTATTGTGTTCATGTTTACACAGCGATAGACTACAAAAGCGTTCAAAACACCACAGTGCACAAGGGTGAAAAACAATTGTTTTAATGTTAAGTCAGTTACAAGTGCAACTTTGATCATGTCCCACTGTTTAACAGCCTCAAATTGCAAATGTGGTAATGTCAACAATTTCATTCAGCACCCCAAGGTCGGAGTATACTTTCCTGTTGTAACAAATGTTGGATATTTGATAAAAATTGTAGTTTTCTAGATCATGAGACCCAGTGTTAAACTTTAATTTGACGTTTTGATGTGGAGAGGAGTTCATTTCTAATTCACCTTTAATTTTAGGATAATACTGTGTCTTACGGTATTAATGGTGTATAACAACACAAGTTGCAGCATGAACTAATCCTAAATGGATCATCCCAGTGATTCTGGGATGATGGGGAGTCAAATGTGCAGCCCACACAAGTACGGCTCAAAAGTACCTGTTGAACTTTAAACGGTTTAGGTTTACAACTCATCAGCATATCCAAGATGTCATGAGCTACAATCAAACATTGGAGAGGAAAGTTAGTCCCCACCTTTGTTAGTAATGTAAAAAAAAAAAAAAAATTCTCTATACTAATCAATTTTTGAATGCTGCTATGGCTGTCAGTCATTTTATTTTCAAACACCAGGTCCACGCCAGCGATACATGTGTTGTAGATACCCACGACTGAGTGCATTCAGTCATTCTGTGAGCAGCTACAATATCAAAACTACAGCCAAGTACCAAGAAATGTTCATCTTAATGCCTGATCGTCTTCCAACATGTGAATCTATTTTTTTTTTTTCTCCCCCCCCCGATCCTTATTGTTCAAAAGTTTTTGAAATACAGATATTAACTTAGAAATTCACAAACTCCTAGCTACTTTCGTAACACACATCCAGGCCAAAGACATGTTAAATCCTAGTAATAGTTTAATAAAGAAACACACAAACATAAAAGCCTAAAAATGTCACACCTTATCAACTCCCACCTTTAAGCCAGCAAAATAAAAAAAATACAAGCAAGGCAGCAATTACCTTACTCCAAATAAACACTAGAATTAATTAAATACGAGGTACAATTCTTTATGTTCAGCCTTTACCAATCCCATGGATGACTGACAGTGTTGTGACAAGTCCATCAGGTATCTCTGAAGGCTCTTGTGTGAAATTATCAATTTATCTAGCATGCGTTCACCAATTTCAGGACAAATGAACCACTTTGAAGCACCTGCCCTAAAATTTACAACAAGGGGAATCTGTGTTTGTAATTGTTTTTGCCCAGCTGAAGATCTGTCATCGGGAAGTGAGACTCACCCGCTGAGACATCGCTTCCCAAAATTCAAACCCCTGCCTTCCCCCCACCCCCGTGCATCCTCCCTCTGACCCCCCTGTGCGTCCCTCTCGTTTCCCCGCCCCCTCCCTCACTGTACAGCCTGCTCATTGGCTGTGCTGCCCGAGTCCTGGGGCTTCATGACGTCAGGGAGCTCTGGGGGAGTGGAGAAAGACTCGATCCTCAGCTGCTCAAATGAATCATCTGAGGACAGAGAGAGAGAGAGAGAGAGAACAGTGAAAAGCCAGAGAGAAGATACCTAATGCAAAGTAAATCAGAGCAGAAACTCTGAGCTAGCTGAGTTCAAAACAACCTACTGAGCGAAGCGAATGAATCTAGTCACGACTAGCCACGCCATCTTTAAAAAAAATAAAATAGTCTAAAATGGGGTTGCATAAAGGTTACAAACTACTTACCACTCAGACGGAAAGCTAATCCCACCGTGGCTGGGGCCTGAGGTCGGGCTGTTTGATTTGTGAAGCCACAATTTCCAAGAGTTTGACCGTCATTAAGCATTACATCATCCTGGGGGGAGTTTTAAAAAGATAAAAAAGTAGTGTAGAGGCAGCTGTTGAGTCACTACATTTTTATTTTTCATGTTACACAGTGTGCATTATTAGCCTTTTTATTCAGCTGGGGAACCTAACACATTAATGTACTTCATTGTAACGGGGAAAATAGGGGTTACCTATAAGTCCTTTATTAATCCTGTATGTCATTACCTTATGTACTTTGCTCCTAATTATGAGCAAATTCATGAAAATTATATTAGAATCCAATATTACCATACAGCAGTTCTGCTCATTGACTTGTAATATTCCACACATCTAATTCAACCAGACATATTAAAAGAGATACTAACTCAAACGGTATTAGAAATAATCACTGCAGCTACACACAGTATAATTGCCCACCCCTACACTCTCCTCAATCAGGTAGAGCTACAGCATGAATGAATTGTAATATTGCTCAGGTGGGTTTGAGGCGAGCAAGAACAACAACAAACCAAGAAGATGTTAGCTATATGTACATAGTCCACTAACTGGTTATTATAACAAAAACACATTTTATAGACAGCTCACAAAGGAATAGTGCAAAGTTTTGAGTAACACAGAATTGTATTACTTATACAGACGTATTTGTCATTGCAATATATTCCAAACAACTCTCCCAACGGAGAAGATACTGACATGGAAGATGGTAATTTACCTTATAAAGCCTCTGATCTTCAGGTGGCCTCTTTAAAATACCTTCCACAATGCGCTTCAGTTCATAGACTGTGGTGGACTCTTTGGCATCTGTGAAGATGGTAGTCTTGTGACGTCTGATCATTAGAAACACATCCTGAAATGAGATCATGTGACAGAGGAAAGAATGGAAATGAGATACTGATGACTTCCAAGAATATCCACATCAGTAAAACATCATTGATGTTCTTTCCTCAAGCATGATGCTTTAAAGCCCAAATCCATAGAGGCACATATCATCCTGAAACAACTCATTCATGTTGCGGTGTTTTAAAAATCAGGCTATCTCAAAGCTAGAACAACAAAGACTTTCATAAGATATGCTGCATCTATAATAAACACCCTGTTGTCTATTTTCCAAACCCATAAGCTACATGAAGGAATAAGGCTCCTTTTGGTGTAAAGACAAATAATTTAAAATCTACCTAGTTCTGGTCGTCTGTATGGTGAAACCTGCCTTCAGTAGACAGAAGCAGTTTCATTTGCAAATATTGATTAATTACAGCAACTTCAGTATACTTACCACACAACGATGCCCGGGACGAGGCCTGACACCAAGTTAATGACGAATTTGTTTTATTCTGTCCAACTATCTCATGTTAACGCAGATAAGCAATATAACCGATGTAAAAAGTATTAGGTCCAGTTGTACATGGATCCATTTTGGATGGAGATAAAGTTTCAAATTAAACTTGCAGCGATAAGCACTGCTGGCAAAAGATAAAGGAAACCAGTAACGTTAGTTTGCTTGTTGTTATGTACTCAAACTAACTACAGGGTTGAGCTGTGTGGCAGCGGTACTGGAGAAGCTGACAGTAGTTAGTTTGGGGAGTTCAACTAGTTGATAAATCGGGTTAGGTTTATAATAGAAGACCCAGCTCTACACCAATCTCTACACCAAGGCGTTTAATGATCCACGGTGCGGCAGCTGCTAGCTAGCGTCAGGACCACCTAGCTTAGCTGTGGCTACTGAGGTTCAACCAACAGGCCTCCAAGCTTCCACTCACTAAAGTCACTTTGTGGTAGAACCTGCCAAATGTTAAAAATAGTTAAATTACTATATTATTGACACCATTCCAGTATATTTTTAATCCAAGTTGTTTAATAGGTAATAACGTTAGTCGAGCTAATAAGTTACAGCAGCAACTGACTTAGCTTTTTCACGGCCAGCTAGCCATTTGATCAAAAGCAAAGTTTGTTGGTTGAGCTGTCACTCAGCCAATATTCATTTATATGCCATTTTGTCTGTACCCTTCTCCGCTAACCTTGCTATCGACATGGGCATTATAATGCAATGTTCAGCTAGCGTGAGCTACTGTGTTGTCGTTAACGCAGGGAAGCTAATCCACGATAGCAAGGGTTAGCTAAACAAAGACATCAGCTTTTGGATGGTCGCTTTTTAGTGACAAGCTTGGCTCAGATAGTGACAACAGACATTTTAACCATTAGAGAAAGGCTTAATTACTGAAGTAAGGGCTGGCTGGACAACAGATGATTACATTTTAAGCTGTTATCTGTTTTCCTCACTCACCATTTCTTGCGGTTGGTTGCACACAGAAAAAAAAAACCCACCTCCACTGCACAGCGGCAACTGTGAGATCACAGCAGCACCAAGAGCTGCGACTCCCAAGTCAGCCAGCAGATGGTGGCACCTTCTTCTTCACCGTCTTCTTCTATTAGTTCAATGGCGGATTGCAACCATGACTTATAAAGGTGCAAACCGCCACCTACTGTACCGGAGTATCAGTAGTGTTTTACACGTACGAGATTTTGCAGAAACAGATGCAAGTTATAAAATAATTATAGAACTACGTGTAAGAGAAAAACACAATGTGCATTTATATACATATAAAATTGAAAAAAAGATTAAAAGTTTTCTAAATATATATGTCAGTATGCGCAATATGTAAGTTTGTGGGGTGAAAAGTATCAGTGGGGATCCCGGCCTTTGTTAATAATGAGGCCATCTGCAGATGGAAGAAGCTGTTCTTGTGGCGGGAGGTTTGTGTCCTGATGGACTGCGGCCTCCTGCCGGAGAGTTACTGAAACAGTTTGTGTGAGTATCTAGCATAATTTATGTTAGATCAGACTACTTTACAACATAAAAAACAGCTAAAAAACAACAACTAAATCCTGTAATATTACCCTGGATCTTTCAGGTATTGCACAACAGTTTTCTTTGTCTCCTTTACATTTCCTTCCTGTCTGACTTATCTTTGGACTTGGCCGTATCCTCTCTACCCTACATTTCCTAAAACCGTATATGTTCTACACTTAGTGATTTTTCATTCCAAACATTCATCTGATTGACTTTTTAACTAATAAAAATGTTTTATTTAACCCTGTGTGGTTAAAACTGTCACCTCCTGTCTGTTCCTTCTAATCACATCCTGTGCATTGACTGATTTGTGCACAAAGTAATATTTATTTAATCTCTATCTCTATTATCCATGTCCCACCTGTCCTGCCATTTCATCATTTCTTTTTTGATTATCTTAGCTATTCCTTTACCAAAGGGTGCATTTATGACATAATTTGTCCTGGTTGATTTAATTTTTTAAGGTATTTTGTCTGCTTTCTCATTCTCTTTTATACCTACATGAGCAGGCATGCAGCAAAATCTTACATCTATCCGGAGCATCTGTAATCTTAACAAACTTCGATGGATTTCTAGCATTACATCTTCTCTATTGGATTTTACATTTACTCATTTGGCAGACGCTTTTATCCAAAGCGACTTACATTTGAGGAACAACATACAAGCATCATTATATTCTGAATACTGTAAAGGGCTGTTACAGAATCAACACAGTGCACCTCTCTGTCTGGTTCTTTTTTTAATGGTGAATTGCAGCCCAGCATTATCTCCAACTCCAACTGTAATCCACTGTGTCTTCTAAATAGGGGAAGTTAAAAAAAACAAATAGTTCTAAAGGTCTGTGTGTTTAATCCCTTTTAAATCCCATTCGTTCCTTTATATCTTTTATTTGCATATAGGACAAACAAAGATTGAAGGAATAGTTAAGTATGTTCCAGTCTAATCCTACTAATTACTCATCTGTCCCACTTTTCCCAAGTAATCTTCCCACTACTACATCTGAATCCTACGTTTGAATCTGAAATTGAATAATTAGAAGATGTAAGTAGGTTACAAAATCTCACAGTTGTATGTTGCAGCTCAGTATACCAGCACAATTCAACATAGAACATATTTGTTTAAGTATTTAGGTTTCTTGTGGAGTTTCATCCCTCCCTTTGTACAGTTCTGTACGATCAAAACCCTTTTAACAGCATTGAGCAGAGCTTACATGCATCAGACCAATTATAAACCACGTCTCCCTCCCTAGTGAACAAACAGGTGTTTCTTTTCACTGTGTGTGAGGACTTATTTTCTTTTACATTTGTCCATCTGTCACCAGTTAATTGTGACAGCTGAACTGACCACAGCTGAGACATACAAATCAAACCAGCTTAAGATATTTACAATGTGACATTTGTTGGGGCCAAACAAATGTGTTTTCTTACATCTGGAGAATAACATTTGTAGGCCGGGGCACCTCTGCAGCACTTCTTTATAATGCTGTTTTTACATTACATTTATTCATTTAAAACCTGGGACTCTCACACCAAAGGCGTGTGTCTTATCCACTACGCCATCACCACACCTACAGTTTCTGCAATTTCGATTAATTGTGCAGCCCTGTGTATGACACTGTAGCCTTGGACAGCTCGTCAGCAGGTGCTTGAAAAACTGTGAAAAAGTAAGAATTAAATAACAAAAATCTAAAACCATACTCACATACACAGACACACCTGTTATATTCCTTTAAAAAATATATATTTTGTTTAAAAATGTACTGAAAATGTCTATGATTAGTAGAAAACTTGACATACGCTCCTGAAACTCATAAGTTGTTCTGTTTAAAAATTTTTTATAAAGTACTCTCATTTTGTATTCTGTATGCATAATCAATTCTCATTATTTAAAGCATGTTTATTGACATGTTTTATATTTCATAGACATAAAACAATAGAAAACCATCAGGCACAACAGCCTTAAATTTGCCAAACTCAAATGCTTGGACTGTTTGCAGTACAGCTAATTAACAGTTGCCCAGGAAATCCCAGTTAAGGCCAACTTACAAAATACAAACAAATCCTGCACAATGCTGTATCTATCAGACTCATGGCTCAAGCCTAAACTACACCTTTCTTACCTGCAGGCCAGGACTTAGACCTGTATTTATGCATTTAGCATTTTGATAATTCATTGTCGTACAATGTTAACATCTGAAACACAATACTACATTCAAAAATATGATGGTCTTTTCCTGAGCTGATGGACAAAAAACAGGTAAAACTGAGAAAATGTATTTTTATGTGCTATACATGTTCAGTCAATAAAGAACTCATCATGGTCAGACTATTAGGGTTACCACGTTTCCACTGTGGCCATGAAGTACAGTCGAATTACAGCACTTTTGCTTCAGTGACCGAAAAATAACTCTTCTTCCCTGGTTTGTTAATAAAACTGATCCCAGTTTGATTTCCACATCAAATTACCTGAAAATTATAAAAACCGAGTGAGAAATTTGTAAATTACTGGAAATCACTTCATGAAAATACTAATACGATATCTATACAAATATTATAGAATATTATATTAAACAATTGTATTGTATTTACATAAAAAAATAAAATAAAATTCAACTCACCAAATAAACGTTAAATATCTATCTAACCACGAAAGCACTCTCTCGGATCTTGGAATAAGCATACTGTGGAACAGAGCGGAAAAAACACAAGAGTCACTTTACAGTAAATATGTATAAAAACGAAGCCTCAATTAAACTCAAATGTGCAAAACCTTCACTTACATTCAGGCCTCTGGGGGACTGGACAGGCTCCAGTCCCTTACAACAGAGTATTGAAAATGGCCTTTCCTTAGTCTTTGAATGTTCTTTGAAGCACAGACTGAACACCTTGGCAGGCAGGTAGACATCCCAGTCAGCTGCATGCTCCTCTATTAGATCACTTACCATCCTGTTGGGGAGCAGCAATTACAAAAGCATTAATATGTAGGCATGATGACAGAAGTTTCAATTATAGAAAACATTTATCAGCTTAAAAGGAGAAATTCACAGGAATAAATATGAATATTGTCTGGGAGTTTGACATTTGCACAGATAAGTATTTTTACTTCTACTTATGTATAGTATTTATTTGTAAATTTGTTAATTTTATTTTATTTCTTAATAATTTTTAACATACCTTAAGCATGCATACCAATAGCAATATTCACAGGAGTACAGACCTGTCAATCAGCTGCTGTGTGATCAAATCCACAGTGCCAGTCTGCTGATGATGGACAACAAGAGCGATGGTGACCTTTAGGTGATCTTTTAGTTCTCTGTTGATCTAGCATGGGGATGCATTCACACCACATATATAGGTGAGATACTGGCTGATTAGGACTCAATATTACGCCAATACATTATTATAAAACAAAATGTGCACTGTGTAGAGAGCTCAAATTTCACTCCCATTCCTTGCTAGGATCTGTCCCACTAGCATTTGTTACTCAGTGAAATTTCAGTCTTTTTGAAAAACTGAAACTTGCTTCAGGGTTTTCTGTACATATTCTAAAATACATGGGAGTCTACTGTTGTACTTAACAGTCAGATCCAAACATATGGTTATTTCATCCAAGATAACAACAAATCTTAAGCTCATTATGCTCCATTCACATCATACATTATTGATGATGATCGATATGGCACTAGATCCATTAAATTCAGTGTTAAAGGTTCAGTGTGTAAGTTTTAGTGGCATCTAGTGGTGAGGGTTGTGAATTGCAACCAGTGGCAAACGGTGCAATCACATGCTCCTCGGATGGAACGACTTTCCAAGTTGTGAAGTCGTTCTTCGGACTTCAATGTGTTCATGTGCTCTAATGTTGGAATAAGGAATCAACATGGACGTTACTATAAAGATATGTTGGATTAGCATTATTGGAGCATATAAACAACACAAAGACATCTAGTTCACTCTACATGGACAGCAAAATAATCATTATAACCATACTAAAAATGATATAATACGTAATTTTGCACGAATGAAAGTACTGCATACTTCTTTATGTCCCATGTACACTTTATTTCTATATTAGCAATAAAGATTTAAGGAGGAAAAAAAGATTCTGATCATTATCCCTTTCCAAGCAAGCCGGAGAAGCTACGGTGGCCAACACGCTCTGTCAAATCTTTTGCTAAATTACATGTGTGGGTCTCCATTTGTCCAATTTTCTCTTTTTTTCCCCCTCTTTTCTTACTTCTAATAAAACAGACTACTACTACTTACGTTACTTGTTCTTCTTCATACGTATTAAACGCAGTAATGAAACGCGCTCTGAAGAGCCATTTGACCATTTGGGCTACTGTAGAAACATGGCGGCGCAACATGGCCACATGCTTATAAGGGGACCCGCAGTGTATGTAGGTGGAAATGGCTCATTATGAGGTAATAAAAATATAATGGTTCATTATGTAAGGTCTTTATACACCACTGAAAACATAGTTATGGATAGTATATTGCAATAGATCCTCCTAGATATTACACACTGAACCTTCAAATGAACCTTCAATGACAGACTTTAGATGTTGTGAGGCATCTTTATTTTC